AACAGCCAATGTATATTAGTTGATGTGATGGGTTGGTTGCGTAAAATATTTATGGTTTATTTATTGTTGTTACGCGCGGGAGTAACGATCTGTTTTATATTAAACTTAATCACATTACATGTTTCAAATATTAGATCGAAGAGGTGAATTTGTAATCAGACGTAGGATACCAGAACTGACAAAACAATAAGATGCATGACGCTGCAATAAACCAGTTCAAACGATGATGAAACCAGGAAATACACTTATTTAGTCACGCACCTGAGCTAATCAGAATTCTACTACAATAATGTAAATCTCTATAAATTAATGCTTAAAAGCAAATCAGCTTTAGACAAGATCCGTGTAACTAGTTCCCAATCAATAATGCTTCATTAACTTATTGGATGTAGCTAAGGTTATGAAAACCTCTTGCTACTTGTAATCATTGTGCATAGCTTCCTACCACGTAATATCTGATACAACTGCAAGCCGGTCCTGGTTTTCAGATAGTAGATAACCGCGGCCCAGTTATAGCCACGTCGTCCCTGATACCAGCCGACCATGAATTTTTTAATGCGCAGTGCTCAGATTTCACAGTTTCGGCATTAACAATCGTTTTAGAAGCTTCATTACTTGAATTCTGTCACTTGAAATTTTACCATTCAATAGCTGAGTAATGTCAGTAATGAACGATGTTTATGCCTTGGTAGAAATTGTGAAAGAAAATGTGCAGAACAGTGATATTAGTGAGTGGTAAATGACACCGAAAATCAGCTTTAGAACGTAATTTAATTTTGTAATGGCGTCTTTCTTAATTTGTACTAGTTTTTTATTTAACATCTGATACGTACGACGCGGATAACAAAAAAAGTTTATTTTCCCACGAAAAAAATTTTATGTGCATTACCATGATCAGCAATCAGTGATAAACTGGTACCAATATTTTGATAACTACTACGCTAACCTCTTTTTAGGTGACACTTGTGGTTGCCTCAACTAATCTTGACTCAGTGCAGCCTTCCATCTAAATCAACCACTTACAGAGAGAAACACAAATTTTACGCTGAAGAAAGTGTCCACGATCAGAACCGAAAAGTTAACACCGGTTTATTATCAGTGCTGCGACACTTGCTTGTCAAACAAATGAAATTTTGTATTTCGTAAGCTTAGTGTCACAAGATCTGACACTTTTCTACTGTCTGGATAAACAAGCAATTCTGTCCCTGGGTTTATTACTGAGACTCACAAGTTTAGGCAACTTTAACATGTTCATAGTCTATAGTTTTGTACCTCAAAAGCCTGGAGGAACATATGTAAGAAACCGGGCGCTCCGTGACACCAGTGAATTAGTTTATCCTTTTCGCGACTGTGCAATGAAGATGGGTAATTGCCAGACGGCAAACGCAGCTTCATCAAGTACTCAACTGATTGTTCCACCATATGCCTCAGGTTGGGTTCACTCATGATCATAGGCGACTAAAAGTAGACAATTAAAACCAGATTTACATTGTCTGGTCAAAAATTTTCACACGCATAAGTTGGAAAAAAATCCCCGCTAGACCATGAGCAGCACCTAAGTAGTAGCTCTCATGCCACATGTACATCAGTGGGCATGATGACTTCACTTGGCTGGCAAGCTTCTTGCCAGAACCGATAATTGCCTCCACTACCTGAAAAAATGGTGCATAACATTTCAGACAGCACCGTAACACGGTGATGATCAACTGACCTGAGTCACAACCTCACCGCTGACCGCGTCCCTGTCAATCTCTCGCGTCACAAATAGCAGAGAGTAGAGATAACCCGCTCTGCCAAACAACAGTTCGTCCGGAAGTTCAGTATCCTCAACTACAAGATCTGCCAGCTTCAGGATGCTAAAACGGCAAAAGTTGAGCATTGAGCATCAGCGCAGCAACTTCAAAGGCTGTGAGAGTCTGATGTGCACCTTTTGACGGCCTGTTTACTTTTTTCCACGTCGCCGAGTCGATAGCTGACCGCTGCGCGACATGCCAGTGGTCCGGAAATGCCGCATAAGAACGAAGGCTGCAAAACAAGAATGATACCCAAACGACAAACAGCAAGAACCATTAATACTTTGTGGCCGTGCACCGCCTTCTCTGATTTTGTCAACAGCTGTGAAGCGCGGTCTAACCAGTTAACGTTTTCACTGCCGAACGCCTTGTGCAATTTGTAGAAAAGCAGAGCGATTCCTAAAATATTAATGGCTTGAAACAATGCAAAATTCAATTTTATATAGCAGCAGCACTAACAAGTCTCATTTTACTATTTACGAAGAAAAACACTAAACACGCTGTAGATTTACAGAACAAAAAAACTGCGCGAAAAGTGGCTTTGCTATTGATGCCGATAATGCCGAAAACTGGGAAAATATTAAGTACAAAAACAGAGCACTGCAATTCACACAATAATGGTTAATGTGATAACTTAATCGAAAATAAAAAATAATCCTGACCCAGGTGAAAAAAGACGATAGGATTTACGATAATCATCCTTATTAATCCTCAAAAATAAATCCGTGATGTCCAACGAGTGTAACAGATTTTAAAACGACAATCTTCTTCGCCTAAGGCTATGACAGGTTAATTTGTGATTTCTACCTACAAGATTACGATTTCCTCTTCCAAAACAAAGCGACTCACACAGAATGCAAACAGTCTCCTTTAAAGAAACTTTACCGTCTACCCGGCTAATATCAACAGGGTTCTTATAAACCTAGTAAAACTCAACTTTTCAGAGAACTGCAATGAGGACTTCAATTTCATTACGAACGTTTTCTTTACTTGAAACCATGTCCAATATAGAAACCGACGCTTTAAGTAAACAGTGTAACCTATTAAAACATTTTAAAAAGCTTTCTAACTTTCGAACAAGACAGCAGTTTCAGATGTGATACACAATTTTCCTTTATTCTGATCCCTCAGATTCCGATATAAAAATTATCGTTAGGCTCGTACACAAACAGTAACTAAAATCTGCAAAAATTTCGAGTAAGTCTAATAAAACGCGAAACTTAATTATAACGGAATTTAAGGTCACAAAATCTCGAAGCCAACTGTATAATAATAAAAATAAAAAAGACTATAATATACTGATTATGAATAACTTAGACAAAACCAATAAGTACAAACTGTTTTACACCTGCTAGTGCTTGGTGTCTGGATCGAATTGACTGCGTAGTCATCATATTTTCTTTTCACACTACTGAACCAACTGAGCCTCCGTTTTAGTATAACTTCTATAACTGCGCTACCGATGTGATTCTTCTAGATGACACCATACACCCATCCGAGCATTTAGATTTCTGCGGCTGTTATTTATGTTTACAAAAGTATCTCAGTAACGTGGCTGAATAAACACATTTGCATAAAATTTCTGGTCTGACTAGTCTTTCATAGATTTACCATTAAGCCTAGTGGACATTTTCTAATTACAGTGCGCTGCTCACATCTTTAAATATGTACCATGCCTTTCCGACAGAAGTCTGTCATAGCTGGGAAATCTATGCTGAATGAGGAATAAGATAACTGACTACTTTCAACCATTGATATCGGATTTACGAGGCGAAAGCTGCAAAGTAAAGCCACTTGATTCGTAGCAATGCTACGGCAGAGTCAGACGAATGGCAAAAAGATATTTTCCTTCAGCAGAATCAGAATGCTGCAATTCTTGGTAGCTACTCTATGCCATAGGGATTATATCATATGCTTGCCGACGGAGTGGCAAATCGTTGATGCGCGCATATGCTACTGTTCGGCTAACACAGTGACGCGGTGTACGCATCCTATGCATTGTAGGCGCATAAGTACCTTAAATACATGGGTTCCTGACCTACATAAACCACCCCCCCCCCACCTAGGCAACTAGAAGCAAGGATGCGGTGTAAT